AATATTTATTCTAATCTTCTTTAAAGTAGTCCTTTTGATAATGCACGCATATAAAGCTTTATAAAGCTTTTGCAATTATTAGTATGTATTGCATACAAGCATACAAGATTCAAAATATATTAACAAAATAATACAATTGCTGTTTTATGTTTTAATTTTTTACACGATTATTCGATGAAATTTATGCGGATGTTCCAATTTTCATGAGCGATAGTGTAGAAAAATGCAGAAAAATATCATTCTAGTGCTAAAAGAGGACGTAATTTTTATTCTTCTTCTTTTGAGTAATGATTATATATCATTACAAAGAATATTTTCTTATATAATATAATTTTAAAATACTCTTATTATTTACTTGAAACAAGTAATATTTATGTAACATTTTTCTATGTATGTACATGTGCGCTTCAGAACGAACTAAACTGAGTTTTTTCGAACAGTTCTTGATTATTTCCCAATTTTCGCAATCGAAATATTATTTCTAAAGCGCCGAATATCGATGGCTTGGCACGTGGGGAGTGGGGCAAACGCCGCGCTCACCGCCGCGAGCCTTTAAGCTCGAACAGCATAGTAAGCCTTGCTAGGCCATCCTCGCTCCTCGCGGCCCATGGTGTCGCGCACTTGGTGGGCCGTATCTTCGGCAATAGGTCGAGCGGATAAGACGCGCGTATTCGGCTATCTTTAAACATTAATATTTCGTTAACTCTATTGCGAACATTGCAAAATGGTAGAAGACTTTTCGACTCAGTTTAGTTCGCTCTATCTGCTCAAGACGGGTGGTGTCATAAATTGGTGCCACCCTGTGTGTGTGTGTGTGTGTGTGTGCGCGCGCGCGCGCGCGCGCGTGCGTGCGTGTGCGTGTGCATGTGGCATGCGCATGCGCGCTCGCGTGTTGTATACCTATATATACATATACAAGGTGAGCCATTTTAATGTTTCACTCAAGTATCTTTTTTCCTATGTCTTTTACCAACAAATATTTCAGATAGAAGTTTTAGGGTTTTAAGGGGCATTAGAGAGTAAGCACATTAGGTAGCAATTATTACGATCTTCGATGGCATCGTCAAGGTTAGGTCAAGGAAACGTGGATTTTTTAAACGCAAACACCATTTCTCATTACATATTCTTGTGCTCTTTATTACTTATCTTGAGAGCTCTTCAAAATATTATAACAAAGTATTTTTTTATTAAGTATTTTTTGAGTTATGAGACTTGGAAGTTACAGTACCATTGATCTTAGTGTTACCCAATATGTCCGATCAGCGGCTAAAATCTTTTGAATATTATACAATATGAATCTTGAATGTTATACATTATTGTACAATGCTAATGTCAGCGGTACTGTAACTTCCCTTATAACTCAAAAAGTATCTTCTTAAAAAAATATTTTGTCATAGTGTTTTGAACAAAGTCGCAATAATATTGTTATTTAATGTGTTCCTTAAAATGCTAAAACTCCTATCTAAAACATTTTTTGGTAAAAAGGTGCAGGACAAAAGATTTTTGGGGTGGAATATTAAAATGGCTCATTTTGTATATATATTATACAGAATGTCTCGAATTTAAATGGCCAAACTTCGAGAGCGTGTAGGAAATTGATAAACTAAGAAAAAAGGTAACTTTTAGAGATATACTCGTTTTTGCTTCATTTCGAAGAAAATTGAAAAAAAAAGGCAAACGTAATTTTTTGACATTTTTGTATTTATTTATTACTAATCTATTTTTTTTATTACATATATTCACATTGTCATTTGCTTAAGCCAGATACTGTTCAAAATATTGGCTTCTTGTAGCAATGTACGCATTGCATCTTGTACAGAGAGCTCGTCCTGCAGCCAAACGCTGATTTGATCAATATAATGACTCACTGCATCGATCCGGCGCACTTTTGTATAGAAATCGGCGTGCATATTTTCGCACTGCCTCTGAAGCATTATCGCTGAAGTCCTACATTTAGGACCTAAAAGATTGCAACACTTTTTTAAAAATAGTTTTTGGAACGCGGCAAAATTGTTAAAATGCGAGCCACTGTTTGCGTAGCGTGATTAGGATCGAACTCAAATAGTAATAGAATTCATTTTTTTTAAAAGATATTCTTATTAAAGGTCAATAAAAAAATACATTATAGATTGAAGCAAATTGCGAGAAACTTTATTATCCGGCTTAGTATAAAAATGAAGGAAAGGTTAAAAATTAATCGGGAAAGGGTAACTAAAGAAGGGGGAGAGAGAAGAACTAGGAAGGGGAAAGAGATTGTATAATTGCAAGATAGAATTTATGTAACGATTCTATGTCATTTTGCCTATTTAAATCCTGTCTTTATTTCTTCATGTGAATCATTTCAGATATTAAACGTTTGTTGTGGGTTCATTGTCTAAAATTCTTACTTTATTCCAATTGAATTCATGGTTACAATTAATTCGATGATTTGTGATAACAAATGGAAAACCCGTCTTTTTCTTTATATCTGACTTGTGTTTCTGTAATCTAGTTTTGAACTTTTTCTTCATTTGACTCACATAACTGACATCACAATTCTCGCAAAATATTCTATAGACAATATCTTGATGAAAGAAAAAATCTAGTTGATCTTTGCCTCTTTTTATGTAATTTTTTAAAGTGTTAGGGATGGAATAAGCTAATATAGAATTTAATTTAAGAGCAAGAGGCATAAAGCTTTCTGAAATCGACTTAACGTATGGGATAATGAACAATTTTTTAGCAACTTTATCTTTTTTCGGTGGATGAGAAATACGAATACTATTGTTTTTATGGATGTGCTAATTTAATTTATTATGTATAGTGGAAAAAATGAAATAAAGAGGATAGTCATTATCTAAAATATTCTAAAAACATGTGAATAGTATTAATGAGATGTTTCTCTTGAAACTTAGGATGAGATAATAATATAATTTTGTCTACCGTTCCTACAATAACGCTTTTTTTGTGACATACTGGATGGTGAGAGTAAAATAATATTAACTTTAATGATATGTATTTTATATATATATATA